AAAATCATATTTTTCCAACCTTAGTTTCTATTTCTTGTAAATCACCAAGATACTCTAATATTTTATCTCCCTCTATTTCCTGCCTTGCCATTCTCCATCCCCAAGGCCCTCATCCTAACTCATCAAGTCTATCATCTTCTCCTGACCTCTGATCTCTGAACCCCTGCTCTAGTGGCTTGTCACTTATCCTTGATGCTGGCACCATCTGTTTATCCTAATTCATCGTCTATCATCTTCTCCTGACCTCTGATCTCTGAACCCCTGCTCTAGTGGCTTGTCACTTATCCTTGATGCTGGCACCATCTGTTTATCTGAAATATATTTCTCTTAATGTTTTGAACACTAGGTTATCCAGCCACCATTGTTCCTGCATTAGTTAGGGTCCTCTGAAAGAACAGAACTGATTAAAATGAATGTATATTATAAAGGAGCATATTAGGTTGGCTTATATGATGTCAGCTGCCTGTGTACCAGAGGGGTTTGAGAACCTGGTAGCTGCTCAGTCCATGAGGCTGGATACCTCAACAGTCCTAGTCTAATACTGAAGGCCTGGAGGGTTCTTCGGGAGCTGCTGGTCTAGTCTGTGTTGGAAGACTGAAGAATCTGGGTTCTCATGTCAGTGAGGGATGGCAGCAGCACAGGTTGATGTACTTATCAGGAAGGAGTGATAGTGAGCACACAGAATCAGCACTGGTTTTCTGCAACCTCTTTGTTTATGAGAGTTTGCCTACATGTATGTCTATGCTCCACATGCATGCCTGGTGTCTGCAGAGGTCAGAAGAGGGTGTCAGATTCCCTGCAGCTGGCTTTCACAAAGGGTTGTGAACTGCCATGTGAGTGCTGAGGATTGAACCTGGGTCTTCTGCAAGAGCAGCCAGTGCTCTCAACTGCTGAGCCGTCTCTACACCCCTCCCTCCAACCTCTTTAAACATGGAGTCCGCTGCTGGCAGTTATGCCCACTCAAGAAGATGCTCCCCTCTCAGTAAATCCCTCTGGGAAATACCCTCACAGACACAATCAGAGGCGTGTGCTTCAGTAGATTCCAGGTCTAATCAAGTTGGCAACCAAGATTAACCACTACCAAGCCACAACATGGGGTAGAACCTGACCTGTCTTTTAAATGACATCTATGCCATTTTCCCATCTTAGCTCTAGTAATAACTGCCTGGCAAAAGCTTTTCTACTATCACCCCTGCTTTTAATATCCCTAGAAAAGGAATGTTCTTGACTTTCCCTTTAAACGTGTGACTATTTTAGTTTTTTGGTTTTGCTCACATTCTCTCTTCTTCATATATTTCACAGGCCACTAAAGACACTTTCTTGTCTCTGTCCTGGGCTCCCTCTTGTCCAGTTCTCACTTCCCACCAGAGCTAGCATCTCCTTCCCCTTTTCCCTCCCTCTCTTTGTATGAGCATCTGTTATTGCTCTTGCTCTGTTTCATTTTCTTGTTGATCTTTCTCATTCAGGTAGCATGAACCAACTTTTTGACTTAATCATCTGTGCCTCCCCAATGCTTATCAGAATCTCAGTATTTCGCTACCACTTAGCAAATGTTAATTGAGATATATAGTTGGAGTGAGTTAATGTGGCCTTTGTTATGATTTACAGGAGAAAATAAAAATTCATTAGTGACTCTGTTTCACAACTGGTTTCACTTAAGAGACTCTAGCTCTTGTCTATATAGTCACAGTAGAGTGAAAAAATATTAAAATATGTAGAGCATTGGAAATCAAAAGTTTTACCCTATCTTTACTGATATCTTGCTAATCCTGATATATCCATTTTGCAATTTTTCTAAAAGTTGATTGATTCACTCAAATATTCTCCATCGATACATCCTTACATGTAACATTTTACTAGGTCTTTGCTGACATCAACAGAGAAACAAACTGTATATTATTGCACAGAAAAATTTTAATACATAAACAAGAGTTACTGTCTACTGTGGGTAAAGAAAGCACTAAAACAAACAGCAGAAATAAGAAGCAGAGCATCTAACGGGGGAGGAGTCTAGAACAGTCCCACTCTCTCAACCCCAGCCCTCAGTCCAGATCTGATTGAACCTATGTCTCAAGGCATAGCAATAGTTATTAAATTGCTGTACTAGTGTAGATAGGGAATCTCTCTTCTGTGGGTTCTGGGGAGAGGATGTATATAGGGAGATACTGCCTAAGAACTCACTGGGAATCTGCTGGTGTGGATGGTGCTCATGAAGGGTGTTACTCTTTTATTCTTGGGGATCTGAAAAAGAGCTGCACCTAGTTAGTACCACCTGACTACACATAGCAACAAGCAAGCCCTTCTTCCACCATTGTGCCACCTCCGGCTCACACTACTCACACTCTTTAAAAATGTCTAAACTTCACAGTGTGGGTCTAACCTCTTGCCTGCTGAGCTTTTATATATACATATATATACAATTTAACAGTTACAAGAGAAATTACATATCATATATTATATATTTATAGTTTAGTGTCTATAATATAGCATAATCACTTAACAATATGTAATTGATATCATGGTATAATCATATGGTTTTATATGTAATGTATAAATACATTATTTCTTCTGCTGACAGCCTCTGCCTAATGAGAATAGCGGTTTAGATGAGAATAAGAAGAGAAATAGACACATCCCCATAAAGTCTCATGTGATGCATTCCTTGACAAAGTATATTGTTAAATATCTTAGTTACATCTTCTTTGACGTGCAGTTATTAAAAGCATTATTATATTTTTCCCATTTTTATTTTGAAACAAAGGCCTTAATTTGTATCCAAGGTTAGCCTTAGACTCTCTTCACTTGAACTGCTGGTCCTCCTGACTCAACGTCCCATGTCCTGGGATTACAGGCATAAACCACCCACTATTCTTATACCTGTCCAGAAATAATTTGTTTGAGATATAAAAGCAAGACACAGACTTTCCAATAGTAAGTGATCCAGAGCTTGTAAGGAAAAAGCAAATATTATATACATGGTTGCCTAAGGCAGAAGTTACTAAAAAATATTCGAATGCCATTTCCTGGGATAAGAAATAAGAACAGTTTTTGTGAATAACCTCAAAAGGAGAGTACTAAAAGCAGTTGAGAAGGACTTGATGAACTTGCCAAACTGTAGAACAAATGTGTCTACCTTGACTTGTGAGGGACATGTCTAGCTGGTTCATCATACATAGGCATGGTAGGGTACTACAAATACTGGCATCCTCATGACTTCACGTTCTGAGTCAATTCTTAGGACATATTGATCTTCTTGTAACTGGAGAGATGGCTCAGTAGCTAAGAATGCTTGCTGCACAATCATAAGGACCAGAGTTTGGATCGCAACACTCATGTAACTAGCTGGATGTGCCATGCAGCCCCATTTTTGAGGTGGGGTGGAGAGAGGAGGAACACTGGAGCATGTTGGCTTCTAGCCAAGCCAAGAAAACATAAGCCCAAGGTTTAGAGAGAAGCCCTGCCTCATAGGAAAAGGTGGAGAACAATAGAGGAAGACACCCAACTCCCTCTTCTGGCCTCAGCATGTGCAGAGATGCTCACACTTGTTACAGATGTGTGATATACTCCCACATATACACACATAATAAATAATAAATAAATATTTATATGAACATTTTTGTCCTATGAGCTTAGTAACAGCATGTGCTACCTGGTATCCCTTCCAGAAGAATCTTGTGTCATTATAGAAACAAAGCAAGAACAGCAGCAGTACATGTGAGCTGTATGAGATTCATAGGCATAGTGATGAAGACACGGTTGCTTAATGAGTCTGCACTCCTGTTTATATTTATAACATATAAAGAAAGATTGAAACCAAACTTGGGTTTCTTCAAAATATTGCTACCCATCTCCCTGGTGTTTCCTTTCTCTCTCTCTCTCTCTCTCTCTCTCTCTCTCTCTCTCTCTCTTTCCTTTCTTTTTTCTTCATTCTTTCTCTTACTTATTTCCTCTGTAGTTATTCATTTTTTTTAGTTGATTATGTTACCTGGTATTGATGGCTACTTAGATGTGTTAAGTTCTTACCTAGTATTAGTAGACAATTACTAGTATCTTCAAGGTGTTTTTCTCCCATAGTATCCAATCTTTGTAGCTATGAGAAGAGATTGAGAAGCTGGTTTGAGAAGTTAGGGAGTTGATGAAATCTGAGAAGGCCACCATCCCTCAACCTCTGTGCCATGAAGTAATTTGGGTTAACAGTTACATATGATGCTTACTGACTTGAATGGTAGAACTACAAAACTATTGGCTCCCAAATCCTCACTCAATTAGTAGGAGACCCTCCTTGTATGCTCCAGGGTTAAAAAGCTATAAACATCAGAAGCTGGAAAGTTCAAGGTGAAAATGCCAGCAGATTTTACACGTGATGAATGTCTCTTTCCTCTTCTAGACAACTCTTTCACTGTGCTCTTACATGGTAGAGGGATAAGGGAGAAATCTAGAGTCCTTTTCAAGTCCACTATTCTGAGAGATGACTCCTTAAAGAAGCTATCTGCGGGGCTGGAGAGATGGTTAAGAACACTGGTTGTTCTTGCAGAAGACCCAGGCTCGAATCTCAGTACCCACAACTGTTTGTAACTCCAGTCCCAGGGGATCCCACAGCCTCTTCTGTCCTCTGCGGGCATTACACGACACAGGTGCACTTACCTACATGCAGGCAATACATGAATACACATAAAATAAAAATAATAAATAAAATATTTTTAAAATGAAACCATCTGCAGAAGGATCCTTGACCTTCAGGTGGGGGACATGGTGCAGAAAAGGCCATCTCACACATTCCTCAGGATGGACTACCAATTACCTGTCTCAGCATTTCAACAGATTGGAGGTATTTGAAAAGCCTGCCATGACATGAGTTATTATGTACCATGTTATACATTTTATAAAACAATTTGAACCATGGTAGGGTATTCGGTGCCCCTAACCTTGGCTTTATTGTTCAAAGCATAGATGTAAGGGACCATGTCTAATTGTAACTGTGCTTTTTTTTTTTTTTTCAGGTTTTTCTGAAGAGTGACCGAGTGGCCAGAATGGTTCAGAGTGGAGGGTGTTCTGCTAATGATTTCAGAGAGGTGTTTAAGAAGAACATAGAAAAACGTGTGCGCAGCTTGCCAGAAATAGATGGCTTGAGCAAAGAGACAGTACTGAGCTCATGGATAGCCAAGTATGACGCCATTTACAGGGGTGAAGAGGACTTGTGCAAACAGCCAAACAGGATGACCCTAAGTGCTGTGTCTGAACTTATTCTGAGCAAGGAACAACTCTATGAAATGTTCCAGCAGATTCTAGGTATTAAAAAACTGGAACACCAGCTCCTATACAACGCATGCCAGGTAAGGACTCTTTACGTTTCCCACCCTAGTGCCTGATGCATGGAGCGAACATCAAGTTTTTATAAGCCTACGAAGAAGTGCTTTACATTCTGCCACATACTTACTTGAAAAGTTGAGTGAAATTGGATTTTAATAAATCAAATAGTGATGTTTGTTGAAGTATTTGATGAAAAAGAATGCCAGTATCGTTATTCAGTTGTGACTGCTTCCGCATGTTCTATTTTAGAACATCGGGTTTGTACCTATTGGGAATATATGGGACAGGTCCTGACCAGTGAAATGACTATCATCTGCTGCCTAAACAACTTCCACAGTTTATACGGAGCAGGTGCACCTCACTGCAAAATAATATTGTCATACAGCCATGATGCTAGTCTTCAGAGTTTTATGGAAGTAATTAAAACTTCAAAGTTTCTCTTTAACTCATCCAGAAAGAAATGAATTGAGGATGATTGTTAAACTATGTAATTTAAAGAGAAGACAGCTAATAATACATTTTTCTTGTTATCCAAGTTATACATTTGAAATATTGAATAAAATCTCCTATCATGTTTTCCATTTTTAGACTGTATGATTTATCTAATAATAGATTCCTTAAGTATTTACATTTTTTGCTTATGTAACTCTACCATATAATTTAAATTAACAAAATTCTGCCATTTTAAAATTCATTAAGAAATGCACTTCTATGATGTAAATGTTTATTTTTAACATTTTTGCAAATCCCCTTCTCTTAATTTCTACATCCTATTTATGTTCCTTATTTTGCATCGCTGGTTAGATGAATAAATTAAGAGTTAATTAACAATTAATCAGGATGTCACCTTAACCCTGTGAACAATTCATACACTCACTGTAATTGTTTTCACTGTGTCATTAAACCAGGTGGTGGCTTAATAATAATGGAAATGGACTATAAAATCACACTTTTATGTTTTAACAGATATGCAACTAGGAATTTGTATTTATTGATGGAAGTAATAGTTCTTTTGTTGAGTTGATTTTGGTGACCATCATTCAGTAGTAAAACTGAGACTCAGCTACTCAGTATATAGTGAGAATTCATCCATCGAAAGTTTTACTAGGTGTTAAAGAACACAAGCTGAGAATTAAATATTTGTTCTTATCGATCAAAATTGAACAGAGGATCTAAACCTCAAATAAATTACACATCAAACTCTGTAGCACCCAATTTCATAAAAACAGTACTCCAGTACTATAAAACAGAAATTAATGCCAATTCAGTAATAGTAGGTGACTTTAATGCCCCACTGAATTCAAAAAAAATTTAAGATAGGGTGTCACTGTGTAACTCTGACTGGCCTGAAACTTTCCATGTTGAACAAGCAAGCTAGAACTCATAGAGATCCACCTATCTTTGCCTTCCAAATGCTAGGATAAAAGGCATGTGCCACTGTGCCTGACTTATGCATTCGAATTTATAGTACAAATGAAATGATGGGGGTTATAAAATATATTCCTGTGTACCTAAAGGTTTATTAACTCAAAATTAGTCTTTTGCCTATTATATAAGATCATTCTTGAGGTATGGGCCTATAATTTCTCTTTTATATGACTTGCAGCATACAGTTCTTCTAATTCAAATCATCAGCATAATAGTGAATTTATTTTCCTTTCAGTTATAAAAGAATATGCCTCATGTATTTTGAACTCTAATATATTCTATTCTGCCTTCTTGTCCGAATTGTGTCCTTTATCATGATATTCCTCTTCATTCTTGAGAAATCTTCCTCTCGCTAAAGTCTGCTTT